CCACCTGCCTCTGCCTCCCAAGTGCTGGGACTACAGGCTGCGCCACCACCCCTGGCTCTGCCTGTCTTTTATGTTGGGTGCTGGGACTACAGGCTGCGCCACCACCCCTGGCTCTGCCTGTCTTTTATGTTGGGTGCCAGGGATCTGAACTCAGGGTCTTCACTTTACCCATTGAACCATCTCCTCAGCCTTGTGTTTTTTGTTTTGTTTTCTGAACTAGGACATCCCTCTTATAGTGCAGGCTGACCTTGAACTGACCATGTAGCCTAGGCTGGACCTTAACTCCTGGTGAACCTCCTGCCTCAGCCTCCTGAGGGCTGGGATTACAGGCATGGCCTACCTCTTAATGCTATAGGGGCAGACCTTCAATTGTAATAGCTCTGCCTTGCAGACATAGCCCTGTCCTTTTTTTTTTTTTTTTTTTTTATCTTTTTGAGACAGGGTCTCCCTGTAGCCCCAGCTAGCCTAGAACTATATAGACCAGGCTGTCCTTGAACTCAAAGAGATCCGCCTGCCTCTGCTTCCCAGGTGCTGGGACAAGACGCATGCCACCATACCCAGCCCTATATCCCTGACCTTTGTGTCTCCCTTTGTTCCTATATAGATTGTGACTTTAATAAAATTCTAGGGCTGGCAAGATGGCTCAGTGGGTGAGATCTTGCTGCCTAAATTTAATCCCTGGAACCCACATAGCAGGGGAGAACTGACTCCTCCAGGTTGCCCTCTGACTTCCACTCATGAGCCATGGCATGCATGCACATGTAGTCTTGAGCACAGGCACATGCACACAGTAAATGTAAAAAAAATAAAAATAAATAAAGTAAGCTGTGGGGCCCCCTTCTCCTCCTCCTCTGGAACGGTCTTTTCCCTATCGCACTCCTGGTTTCCACCCCAGCTTTCTGCCAGAGGCTCAGCAAGCACTAACATTGCAAGGTTGAAGGCAGCAGCTGCCAACGAAGCTGTGCTTGTGCATACTGACGTCTGGTGTCACTGGCCTTGTCTGTGACACTCCTTTACTTCCCAAAGGACCTCCTGTCCCATACCACCACCCTTCCTCTGGTTCCTCACAGCTCCTGCCACCTCTTTCCTCTGGCCCTGTTCTCTCAGCAAGGAGCCTGTGTTTTGTTTCCTTTTGTCTGTGAGACAGGATCTCACTGTGTTGTTAGATTGCTCTACCTTATGAAGTCTTTTGCTTTATGTGTACCTATAAAGAGCCAGAATTCCTGCCTCAGTCTGCCAAGTGCTGGCATCATTGACATGCTCTGCTACACCCAGTGGTGCTTGGTCTGGTAGTGGGATAGACAAGAGTGTGTGGAGGAAGTGATGCCTTCGTTTGGCAACAGATCTTTTCCGTGGATTTGGACCCAGTGAAAGGAGGCTATCCCACTTCAGAGCACAGCGTCATCGTCTGTAGCTGAAGAACCCTTCCAGGAGGGCAGCCAGCACACAGGGGATGGTCCTCTTAGCCACCCATGGAGTGTTTGTGTCTCTGTGTTGGAGCTTCAGTGTTTCTTGAGCTAGCTGTGGAGGCCAGTGACCCCAGAGCCTCGACAGTGGGCCAGGCTCTGCTCCTTGTAAAAACAATTTGATCCTCATTTCAGGCTGTCGTCTCCAGGCTGACGCTTCCCCCAACTCAGCAGTATAAGCAGTATGAGAAGTTTAAGAGGCCTTGTCACCTACTGAGCCTCTGGAGTAGACACTGTTCTCAGAGTGTACCCTGTGAGAGAGTTGTAGCTTGATCCAACGTTTCAAAGAGTGATCCTGGGAGCAAATAGATTGTAAGCCCTCGTCTAGGCAGAGAATGAACTGAGTCATGATACCTGGATAGACTCCAGTACAAGGTGCAGGCCCACTCCTGCTGCTGTGGACTACTGTCCTTTTTGCTTGGTAGCCCTGAGCACTCGTGTCTAATGGATCCACTGTCCACCAAAGCTGTGTTTATTTCTCATCTGTGATGTGATGGGAGAGTCCCTCTTCAGTTCTGATCCTACCTGATGTGATGGGGTTGGATGGGAGTTTCACTGTTGACGTGCCAGAAGGCCATGTGGACTCAGGGGAGATGACAGAAGGGATCAGCATCTAAAGGCTTTTTCCCCAGGGACTCGCCTTGATGTCTGGCATTATTTTTAAAAACCAATAATTTGGTGTGCCAGGTTTGCTCATCATACACTGGTTTGGGGACAGAGGCACATTTACTCAGATGTGGCTTACAGGGTCCTAAGACTTCTTTCCACTCAGGTCCATGTGCAGATACTGGGCAGATGATTTTTCCTGTAGCCCTTGAGAATGATGGAAGGCTTAGCTCTGCTAGTGCATCAGGCCAGTTTGCCTTTATCCATGTTTGATAATGAAAGTGAGTTCGCATGATGAAGTTTAAGAAATTTTCTCCTATAAAAGTCACAAATTGGGAGTTTCCTAAAATAGCACTCCTAGCCCTGTCGCCCAAACTTGGCAGGCCTGCAGCCGTGTCACCTCCCCTGGTGAGCCTCTGCATATAAAAACTGGCTGCTTTCTTGGCCTGGGCGGGCGCTGGATTTCAACCCTGTTCGGAGACATTTAAATCACACAGACACTAAACCTTGCATTGTGATGGAGAAACTTGAATAGGCAGTCTTCAGATTGGAGCAAAATGTGAAACTTGAGTAAAGGAAGAGGTTGGAGGTTGGAGAGATGGCTTAGCAGTTAAGAGCACTTGCTGCTCAGTCATGAGGGCCAGAGTTGGAATTCCAGCACCCATGTTGGGCAGTGCACAAACTTCTGTAACTTCAGCTCCAAGGGATCTGACACCTCTTTTCTCCACAGGAACACACATACGCAGATACACACACCCAGACACACTCTGTCCCTCCAAAGAGGTTGCTTTAGAAAAACTTTGAAAAGCTCTTAAAACATAATAGACTTGAGGCTGGAGAGATGGCTCAGTGGTTAAGAGTACTGACTGCTCTTGCAGAGGACACAGGTTCGATTCCCAGCACTCACATGGCAACTATGAGCCATCCTTAACTCCAGTTCCAGGGGAATCTGAAGCCCTGTTCTGACCTCTGTGGCACTGCACGACAGGGGCGCACTCACATACATGCAGGTAATACACTAGTACACATAAAATGAAAATAATAATTAAAAATATTTTTTTAAAAAGATAGTAGACTTTAATATAAGACCTTGTATTTACTCATGAAATAAGACTGGTATTAGAATTAATTAGTAGAATTAATACAGGTCTGACAGAAGCCATGCTGGGGCTTGTGTGTCTGAGTCTCTCAGCTTATAGACACATCCTAGTTACTGTTCCTATTTGTTGAGTGTTTCATTGGGCACAACTGTGTTTCAAGCTGGAGTGAAAAGTTTCATGCCTTCCCAGCCCCTCCAGAGATTGGATGGTGCTTTTCAAATATAGTATGTTGGGCTGCCCAAATATGTCCTAAAATGAATGTCAGTGTTAGACTGTATTTAAGTCTAGCTTCATATGGTTAGTCTAATTTTATGTTGTTTGTAAGAGACTCAAATAAGGATATGGAAAGATGAATAGAAACATTGTAGGAAATACTACCAGAGAAAGCCAGCCTGGCTTTGCCCATGTTAACCAGTGGTTTCAGCACCAAGAGGATTGCTACCATAATTAGAAGTGTTTAATTACTCAAGAGAATCATTCTCTCTGTGGGCATTAGTTTAAGTGAATCAGTAAACGTTTAGAAGATTTGAATGGGACTGGCCATCTTGAACCTCACCTCTCACCTGTAGAACACAGCTGTTCTTAGGATGTCTTTTCTGTGTGGGGGCTGGCATGTGCATTTAGGATGCTTAGCTTCCTTGGGCTCTACACAATCGCACCTTCTTCTGGAAGTGATGACCACAAATGCCTTGGCTTTACCAGGTGTTCCTCAGGAGGCTGCCAGCTGCTGTTGTGGATCTTCTCTCCAGAGAAACACATGCTGTGTACAGCCCCTACCCCTCCAGTGGCTAGCTGGTCTGATCCTCAGCAAGTGGGACATGTCCTGAAGAAAAGCAGGGGACAGTCACAGAGCCTGGAGGTTGAGCCTTTGTGTATGCCCCTGCCCTGCGTGAAGGTGTCCCCAAGTTCCTGGTGCTAGGGGCAGAGGGCTCAGCCAGACCTGCTGACTTTAGGCCCACTGTGGGCTCTGGCCTGCCCTGGTAGGAGTTCAAGGCCAGAATGTGTTGGATGGCAGTCTCACCTTCTGCTCCTTCTCAGACTTTCTTAACCGTTTTCTAGAATGGTGACTTTGTGGTAATCAGGACCTGCCAGGCTCTGGTTTTGTGAGAAATCCTTCCTTTATCTCTTCTTCAGATCCCCTGGGTCCACTTTGGAGACAAACAGCAGGCTTCTCTTTTACTCCCTTTCCCTAAGTGCTAGCCACAGAAAGTTCAGGTGCGTACCAGTATAAACTAGATATGAAATAGTTGACGTGTGGCTCTGAAGGGACATAAAAGGGAGGCTTTACCCTCAAGGAGCAGGTGCTCAGTGCACTGGTGGGGTCAGAGAAGACTCAAAGGAGAGGAGGCGTCAGGGTTGTGCAGGCCAAGTGGGGAAGGGTGTTGCAGGAGTAGAGCAGCTCACTGGGCTCTGGGGTCTGATTGCTCATCCTGTTGCAGTGCAAAACAGGAAGAGAAGACAGGAGGAGATGAGGCATGCTTCATGCTCACTCGGGGAACTGTGAGCGGTTGATTGGGGCATGCACGGTTAGTTTAGATACGTGTTGAGAGAGTCGGAGTGGCTCTTTGATGGACAGAACAGGAGACTGGCTGGACGCTTTGCAAAGAACCCAGCCAGACTGTGGGGTTCAGAACTATTGCTATGGCCATGGGGCTGGGGAAGATGCGATCTGCAGATGGAGCAAAGTCCCCAAACCCCAGGTCTGTGGAAGGGCACAGTCATGTCCCTGCTAGAGAGAGGAATTTCCCTTAGCTCTGAAAATAAAGACTTAAGTTTTTATTTGAGAGAGATTTTTTTTTCCACTTTTATATACATTTTTTTCCTCTAGGAAATAGACAGACGGTTGGAAAAAAAACTGAAGATCACACAAAAGGAGAGGTAAGGCTGCTGTCTGGCGTGAGGGCTCGTGCTCTGCCTCTGGAGAGCTGGGCAGCTAGTGCTCTCCAGCTGGCAAGCAGGGTTAGCCCTAAGGGCAGGCTCCTGGGCAGCTAGCTCTTCCCTCCTATTTGGAGACCAGGATGCCATGGATTGAGGCTTTGGGATGAGGCTGGGTATTGCGCTGCCTCCAGCCTCAGTGGGGCCCTGTGTGAGGTCATCTGATGGAAAGAGGGGAGGTGACAGGTTACAAGGTTTGGGCTTTTAGGTCTGGCTGTGCCCACTGACTGTGAGGTTTAGGGCAAGTTGTTTCTCTCTCTGGGCATGTGTATCTTCCCCTGTGACATGGGGAGCTTGGGCAGATCACTTCTCTCTGACCTTGATAACTTGGCAGTTTAGAGTATTGGGAGTATCCTAGAAGAAAAGATCCTAGAAAATTCTTGAAACACCATTAAGGATAGCCTTATTCACCATCCATACAGCATGGGACAGGGGTTTCAAAGTAGGTGAGGTTGACTCTGGGCTTAGGTAACAATGATGAGCTGCAGAAAGTGCATAGAATTTGATTTGCTTAGCTGGCTACAGCCATTCCCCAGGGGACTTTAGGGAGCCCTCCACCCCATGTTGACGTTCCTGTCCTCCCCGCTGCTGTGGTCAGGCTGCTGGCTCCTCATTGTTCTGCTCTTTTTGGGAACTCCATGGTCATAGACCCTTTTCCTTGCTTCCCACCCCACCCAGGACCTTCTAGTTGACCCAGAGTGGTTGGCTTCCTCTGGTCCCTACCCTTCCTGACAACCTAGGCTCTGGGAGGGTCCTGGTGGCTGGTGTAGACGGTCATTCCTGTCTCATTCCCTTCTCTTTTGTGACTTTTGTTTCCTCCCGGTATTGTTCTCCATCTGTGTTTTGGGAATGTCACTTCTTCTTTGGCCATGTGGCATCAGTGTGCACATCCACCAGCCTTGGACAGTGCTTTATCTTTGAGCATTGCCAGGCACTGTTTCTAGGACTGGTCTTCGCCCCCAGCCCCGCCGCTGCCCAACAGAGCAGAGATCTCTAGTGAGGGAGGTTTCTTCATTCCCAGGCTCTTGTGCAGAGGTGACTTGCTTGTCGGATGCAGCTTGTCTCTGAAAGGCACAGGCCACTTGCCAGAAGGTAGAGGCAATATGGGAAATCCTGTCTCACTTGTTGACAGGTAGGGTGGCATCGTGTGCCTGTGTGTTGACTTGGTTTGAGCACATACTGTGGTAAACCTGGACTGAGAGGCTCTCAGCTAGCTCACCAGCCTCTCACTCTGGTTTGTGTAGGGAACCAGGGGTTTTCATCAGAGTTATTGGGTTTTGGATGTGGAATGTTGTGGCCTCAAGGGCCAAATGTTGCTTACTGGGCTGGTGATGTACCTGGAGAAGTCCCAGGATGGGGTGAGCTGGCCCCTGCAGTTATGGGCTGTGGGACAGTTTCTGTGCCTACAGAGCTGGGGGCAGGGCTACTTTCTTAAAAGACCCTGCTTGAAAAGTGGAAGTTTCGGTTGTCCGGTCACAGGTTGGATGAATAGTTAGTGGGAAGGGAAAGGGCAGTGATAAGTGGGGAGTGGGACATGGCTGGGCCTTCTGGATTTGTGAAGCTGTGTTTGCTCTTTGTCAGCAGGAAATCCAAATCTCCTCCCAAAGTGCCCATTGTGATTCAAGACGATAGCCTTCCCACGGGGCCCCCTCCACAGATCCGCATCCTCAAGAGGCCCACCAGCAACGGTGTGGTCAGCAGCCCCAACTCCACCAGCAGGCCAGCTCTTCCAGTCAAGTCCCTAGCACAGCGGGAAGCTGAGTACGCAGAAGCTCGGAGAAGGATCCTTGGTAGTGCCAGCCCTGAGGAGGAGCAGGAGAAGCCCATCCTCGACAGGTGAGGATAGTGGCAGCAGCCTGTTGACTTACTCCTCTGTTTCACAGGAGAGTGGGAGGAACAGGAAGAATCCCAGGTGGAGTCTGGGCAGGAACTGTCCCAGCACCAGCCTGCTGGATTGCCTGTATGTGGGCTCTAGGGACCAGACTGAGGCAAAGCACTTTACCAGTTAAGCTCTTGCCAACCTAGGGGAGCTGCCTTGGAAAGCCACAAGGGGGTGCTGCCAGGTATTGAAGAAGTTGGTCTGTAGGCACCAGGAGGCAGGCTGCCCAAAGATGAAAGGATGTACTAGGATGCACTTAGAGTCAGGATCTGCCAGCCTCACATCTTAGAACTGCTGAACCTGATGCCTGACCTGCGAAATGGGATGAAGGTAATACCTGTCCTGCCAGCCAGCCAGTGTGTGTTTACTTACCAATAAGCAATGGCTGTAAGGTGCTGAACTTGACCCAGAACCCCAGAAAAGCCTCATGTTGTCATCTGGGCTGGGTCTGCAGTACTCACTGTGGGTCTTACTGAGTGTTTGTTTTGCATTTTTGTTGTTTTTGCTGGGTTTTTTTTTTTTTTTTTTTTTTTTTTTAGACAGGGTCCCTCTTTACCCCCCGCTCGCCTGGGACTTTCTTTGTAGACCAGGCTGGCCTCAACTCCGGTGGTGCCCAATTTTACCCTGGGTTAAAGGCGTGCACTACCACGCCCGTTTGTCTTTTTGAGACAGGGTCTCTCTGTAGCCCCAGCTAGCCTGGAACTTGCTATGTAGACCAGGCTGGCCTCAACTCAGTGTGTGCCAAGATTTCACCTGGGAGCCGGGGATCCCAACTCAGGTCCTCGTGCTTGTGCTGCAAAAGAAGTCTGTCCCCCAGCCTCAAAAGGGCACTTTTAACAAACCTGTGTTACCAGGAACTGGCGTATATAATACAAATCTAAACTTTAAAAAAAAAAAAAAATTTGGAGCCAGACGTGGTGGTACAATGCCTTTAGTCCCAGCACTGGGACACCCTGTGTCAAAAGAAAGCCAGGCTCACGCTGGTGAGCTAACTCAGCTAGTAAGGGCACTTGCTGCCAGACATGACCACCTCAGTTTGATCCCTGGAACCCACCTACATGGTAGAAGGAGAGAACCTGCTTTGGTTCAGAAAGTTGAGCTCTACGTGTGTGATACGCGCACATGTACAATAAGTAATTTAAATTTTTTTTTTTTTTTTTTTAATTAAAAGCCAGATACAATGGCACACACCTGTATTCCCGGCAGGGACAGGCAGATCCTTGGACTTGGCTGGCTGGCTAGACTAGCTGAGTCAGAACTCCAGCTTTGGTGAAAGACTACATCAGAAAATAAAGTTGGAGAGCAGGTGAGGCGGCTCAGTGGGTAAAGGCATTTGCCACCAGCTATGATGGCCTGAGTTCAATGCCCAGAGCCCACGTGATGGAAAGAGAGCACTGACTCCTGCAAACTGTCCTCTGAACTCAGTACTTGTGCTTTGGGATGCGTGTGCCCATGTATGTACACATACTCACACAATAAGAACTGTAAAATTTGTGTTGGAAAAGAAAATAGGGAGATTGAGGAAGACACTAGATGGTCAACCTCCATCTTACCTCTGCACATACATGTGTGCATGGACACGAACACATAAACACACACAAAGCGTAGTTTTTTGAAAAATTTTAAATTTTATTTATCTGTGTAAGTGTATTGCCTGCATGTAGGTAGGTGCACCCATGTCATGCAGTGTCTGAGGAGGTCAGAAGAGGGGGTCAGATCCCTAGGAACTGGAGTTACGGATGGTTGTTAGCCACCATATGGTTGCTTGGAACTGAACCCAGGTTCTCTATAAGAGCAGCCAGTGCTCTGAACCGCTGAGCTATCTCTCCAGACCCCTGAAGATTCATTTTTAATTATGTCTATGTGGGGGACATATGCACATATGAGTGCAGGTGCCCAAAGAGGCCAGAGGCATCGGATCCCCCTTTAGCTGGAGTTATAGGCAGTTACGAGCTGCCTGACATGGGCTCTGGGAACTGAACTTGGGTCCTTTGCAAGAGCAGTATATACAGAACTACTGAGCCCCACCTCTCAAGCCACCCGAAATTAATATTTTTATCTGTATAAATTTTTTTTTTTTTTTTTTTTTTTTTTTGAGGCACCATCTCCTGTAACCCAGACTAGCCTGAAACTCATTTTGTAACCAAAATAATCTTAAACTCCTGATCCTTCTGTCTCCTCCTGTGCTGGGATTACAGGTGTGCACCACCACAAACCCAGGATCAAACCCAGGGCTTAATACAGGCTGGGCAAACACTTGTAAGTGTATGCCCAGCCCATAATTTTAGTCTTTTGAGACGGTCTCGCTCTGTAGCCTAGGCTGGCTTGGCATCGGCACCTGACAGCCTCAGCCTCTCCAGTGCTAGGATTACAAGTGCAAGCTTTGCCTCTTCTTTTTTTCTCCCCACAGTGTTGTGGGCTGAAGCCTTTGGCCCTCAAGTGTGTTTGGTAAGCAGTCTCCACGAAGCCAGCGCCTCTTGTCTTGGGGCTGCTTTGGCATGGTGTTCTGAGACCCGAACGCCTATCTGCAGACTCTGTACCTTTCTTGGTGCTGGTTTGTTTTTGTTTTGATTTTTTTTTTTTTTTTTGAGATAGGGTCTCGCTGTGGCCTCAGCTGGCCTGGAATTTGCTAGATAAACCAGGCTGGTCTTGATCTTACAGAGATCCACCTGCCAAGTACTGGGATTAAAGACAAAGCCACCATGCCTGGCTATGTTTTGGCTTTTTGAAACAGAGTTTTCACATTGTATAACCCAGGCTAGCCTTGAATTCAGAGCAATCCTCCTACCTCAGCCTCCCTGGCACTATTACAGGCGTGTACCACCATGCCCAGTGCATTCCTTTTTTAAAAAAAATATTATTTTTATTTTATGTGTATGAGTGTATCGGCTGCATGTATGTGAGTGCACCCGTGTCATGCAATGCCCTGGAGGTCAGAAGAGGGCTTTGGATTCACCTGGAAATGGAATTAAGGGCCGTTTGTAGCTGCCATGTGGGTGCTGGGAATCAAACCCAGGTCCTCTGCAAGAGCAGTCAGTGCTCTTAACCACTGAGCCATCTCTCCAGCCCCCTGCATTCCTTGTTCTGAAGGAACATCCATTCTGTTTTCTCCTCTTAGTTTGCACCTGTGTGGAGTGGAAAAAGTCCATCTCCTCCTGTCTTCTCTAGTACTAGGAGTCAGCAGCTAGCCATGTGGTTTTAAGAGAAGCAGGAGGCAGACAGGTGGATGCCAGCTCACTCCTGAGCTCATGGCTAGGGGGGCCTAACACTGGAAAAGCCTGTTGGTTCTGTGGAAGATGCGTTGCCATGGCTGCCACCCCCACCCTCAAGATGGGGTGTAAGCGCTCCTGTCTGTGGATGAGTGATGGCAAAGGAAAAGGGGCCTGTCAACTTGGAAATGCCACTGGTCTGCTTGCCAAAGAAGTCAACTCATGTAGACAGTTGGCTAGTAGCCCCGGCAAACATGGGTTGATTTTAAGATTGGGGAACTTTCAGGCCAGAGAAGTAGCTCAGTTGGTAAAGTGCTTGCTGCACAAGCATAAGGACCTGAGTTTGGATTCCCAGTACCCACATAAACTCTAGACAGGGCCACAAGTGATTATAACCCCAGTGTTGGGGGTGGGAGTAGAGGGGTCCACAGAGACATCCCTGGAGCTCATTGGCCGACCAGTCTAGCCAATTGAAAAATGGTTTGAAAAATAAGGTGGAGAGCAATAGAGGATGATCATGACGTGGACCTCTGACCTCCACATGCACACGTGCATGTATACACAAACATGTACAGACATCACACACAATAGATTTGGGGCATCTTTTATAACCTTCAGGTTTTCCTCTGGTCTTTCTTTTAGGCCAACCAGGATCTCCCAACCTGAAGACAGCAGGCAGCCCAGTAATGTGATCAGACAGCCTTTGGGTCCTGATGGGTCACAAGGCTTCAAACAACGCAGATAAATGCAGGCAAGAAAGGATGCCGCTGCCGCCATCACCGCCTCCTGGCTTGTCTGCCACGGGTTGCACTGCCATGGCAGACATCTGGACTTGAGCAGAGGGAACGACCTGACTTACTTGCACTGTGATCCCCTTGCTCCGCCCACTGTGACCTTGAACCCCATGCACTGTGACCTCCACCTCCCCCCCTTCCCACTGTGATTGGCATGTTGACAAGGGCTGTCCCAAGTCAATAGAAAGGGAAAGGGTGGGGATAAGGGGAGGATGGGGGGACCTACCAAGGACTCAAGAGTAGAGGGTCAGGCAGTGCCACTTGGCCACTTGGGGTAAAGCCAGTGCCAGCAATAACAGTTTATCATGCTCATTAATTTGGGATTTCAAAACAGAAGAGAACTCCCACCCACCCACCCCCAAGTGCATGTCTTCATCACTTAAAAGTAAGTTCCATTTGAAAATATCCTTTCCTTTTTTTTTTCCTATTTTTGTTTGTTTATACAAATATCTGATTTGCAAGAAAAAGTGCATGGAAAGGGTTTTAGCAGTTTAATGAATTTTTAACTGAGAAAGGGTAGTTTGGTAGTCTACTTAAAGATGTTTCTAGGAAACTTGCTGGAAACATTAACCAATAGGACTTTGGTGAGCTTAGCTTCTTTATTCCTACTGCAGCCCAGAAAAGGGGCAGGGCTCTAGGCCCCCAGTAAATGAGCACCCATGCCTATACCGCCTTCCTCCAGTAAGTCCCAGGCACATTGCCTGGAGACAGCTCAGAGAGCCTGGGGGAGGGTGCCAACCCCACCTCTAGTATTTTGGGAGATGGGGAAAGTGACAGACTTCCCCTTCCCTTATCCCTCAGGGCGGCTCCCTACCAGCCAGGCATGCTGCTTCTAGAGGATGTCAGGGAGGAGACTACACTTCCCGGCTAAGAGTCGGGGTGCAGCGCTTGTTGAGTTTTGCTGTCAGCGAGAGACCAGGAGAGAATCTGGTTCCAGAACTCCAGGCCTTTGCCTGGTGTGGTCAGATGGTAGATAGACTTGTCCCTTCCAGCAAGACTGGAACTCTTAATGGTCTGTGGCCCTCTGTTGATGACCCAGCTCAGAAACTGTACCTGGTATGTTTCCATGAGAAATCAGTACCTTAGTGGGTAGACCAGTCTGAATAAAGTTGGTAAAGAAGCTTTGTATTGCAAAGGTAGATGGCCAACCCATTCCTCAGATGCCCGGGCTTCCCTTTTCCCCTTTATCCAGAGTGAGGCTGGCACGAAGGCCATTTCTGTCCCTGAGTCTGGAGATTGGCCTTGGCCCTTGATGAGAGGCTTGAGAGGGCGGCTGTGTCCTGCTGGGTGCTTTCAGGCTCTCCAGTCTTTTCCAGTGCTCTGCCTTACCCCTCAGCCAGGCTGATGGCCTCCCATCTCCTGACCAGCAGGCAGGTTTGGGAGTGGGTGGTGTGGTTTGGGATTAGGGCAGCTGCGGTTGCTAAGGTGTCAAGGTGAGGTTTTGTAGGATCACTGCACCTTGGGTTCACCCGGCTCACTTGTGCCCTGTGGCAGTGACCCAGGACATCTTCCCTTTAGCAGGAAGGGCTAGTTGCCAGCTGAGTCGGCAGCTCTTCCACAGCAAAGTCCTAGAACTGCACGAAGCCAGATGTCATCCGTTAGTGAGCTAGAACAGCTTCATTCAGCAAGAGAGGCAGCCACCTCCAGGAGTGGGCAGCAAGGAGGGTGGCCACTGTCTCAGAGTCTATTGCCCTGATATGTGTCTGCACTTATAGGGCCCACCCACAGGGAACAGTGGTTCCTGGCTAGAGGTGAGACTGTCCTTTCATTGGAGAAAGATGCAGAAATAATCCAGGTGGGAGGCTAGAAGTACTGACTGCTCTGCCCTCTGGACCACCTGTGCTTGCCCTAGCCTCTGGTGGGAGCCAAGGGCAGCTGGTGTCTGTGCACTGAAAGCCTGTAGGGGTGGTGATCCCACCTTGCTCTGGCCAAAGATGGGCTCTGCCCACAGCGTGCCTGTGCCCACCCACCAGCAGTCATGCCTTTGGCCTCCTAGGAGGAAAGGTGGTAGGCAAAGCAAGAGAAAAAGAAAAAGCAGGAAACTATTGTGTTGGGGAGGTGGGAGGGGAGAAGGGAAACGGTTTGGGTTGTGTGTTTTGTTTTGTTTTTGTAGTCTGTAACTTTCCTTAAATGCTTCTTCTCTTCTCTTTTTTTTTTTTTTTTTTTTTCCTTTTTCTAAGTAAGTTGCAGGCTTTGGCTTGGCAATCCCCAGGGGGATGAGGGGCAGGAACCTGAGGCTGCAGCCCCTTTGCCTGCCTTCATGGTACTGTCCCTTCCCCAGCTCTTCCTGGACCCCGTGAGCCAGGCCTCAGCTAACCACGTCCCATGAGCCACTACTCTGATGTCAGCCTATAACCAAAGGAGCTGGGGGTCCGGGCCTGATGACCAGCCCTTCTCAGCCCCCTCAGGGTGCTCCCCACCTGCAGGCAGGAGGCAACACCCTATCTGCTGCCATCAGCCCCTTCTAGAGCCCACCTGCCCCGCCCAGCCCTGCCCTGCCCTGCCATACCCTGCTCTGCCCCATCTGGGGGTGCTCTGCTCAGGGATGGGCCGGCAGGGCTGCACCCAGCCTCCCTGGAAAGCAGAGACTCAAGAAAACCTCTGGGGTTCTGTTTCTGGTCATGTGACCCCAGGGGTACACTCTTGGGCATCTGAACAGAAGGGATTGGGAGGGAGGGCCACGCCCTCTAGTCTTGCTCTGCTGGTGTAGCAGGCAGCTCCCCACCTTACCCCACATTGCGGGCTCCTGAGTCGGCAGATTAAGCATTTTATAAATTGTATTTTAAATACATGTTTTAAACTTGTCAGCTCTTTGTCCTCATTTCTGTCCCTGACTTCCTATCTCGTGTTGTGGTTGCTTGTCCAGCCCTGGGGGCTTTCTGTTCTTTCAGGAGGTCTGCTGCTTCCAGAGACAAAGGCTTTCCTGTACTGGGTTTCTGTTCAGCACTTTGTGGGGCCAATGACCCAAGGTAGGAGGCTCTGAGGAGAGTCCAGAGGTTCAGACCCAAGGGCTGCTGCAGCTGGAAGTCCCAAACCCTCTGCACAGGGCTTAGTGAGTCTTGCCTCAGAGACTCCCAAACCTGAAGAGCATGCTGGAGCTTCACATTCTGGGAGTCGATTAGGGTGGTGAAATGTCCAGGCCTTCCTTGGGATAAGGCACAGACAGAGGCTGGTGTTCTTGGTGTTTATTGGCTTATCAGGCCATAAAAGCAAATTCCCAACAGCCAGACCCTGCCCAATGGCCCAGCTGTCTTCTGGCCTTGAACTGCCTGGAGCTAGGATTCCAGAGGGTCAGTGGGTTCGGGCTGACACAGAGCTAAGCCACTTTCTACTGTCAGAGCTGTGTTCCCTGGGGAGAAGAATGTCATAGGAAAGCGGAAGACATTTGGCCTTCTTCCCACGGTCCTGCCAGGTTCATGCATGAGCCATCCTGTGTGCCCCGGGGAAGAAAAGGCTCCTAGAAGCAGTGAAGCCCAAGAGTTAGCCTTGAGGCCTAATTCTAAGTCCTAGGACCTGAAAGGGACCTCTGTAGGGTGCATTCCCTTCTCAGTCGCTAGGCCTGCATCTCATAATATGGAACAAGGCAGAGGGTATCACTGAGTCCTGGGTCCAGGGAACCTTAAATGCTCAGGATCCTGTGAAATGGTCTGTCTGGTACACAGGCTTTCAACAAGGAATTTTCTTTCCTGTCTGTCCTCCGTGCAGAAGGCAGTCTCCCAGCATACCCTCTTGGAAAGATGGGTTCCCCAGTTATTAGGCTAGAGGCTTCTTGACAGTAGCAGATAGGCCTGAGAGGCCCTGGCCCTCGGTACCCACCTGCCTCCTTGTGCTCCTGACTGGAGGAAGAGGCTCTGGAGGTCAAGGCCCAGGCCAGCAGGGACACACTGATCCAGCACAGAGTGGATATGGTTACCCTGCTTCCAATGGACCATCTTCTCCAGTCTTGGGCAGAGTGGTATGCAGGGCACTTGGGCATAGGGACTCTGCAGGTTGGCAGCTGGAGGAGGAAGAGAAAGCAAGGAGGGAATGCTTTAGAGCAGCCGTGGGAGCCTAGCATGCCCAGGTGGAATCCTGGCTTTGCCATATGATGAGATGAGTGGGTTTGGGCAAGTCCCTTATCCTCTCTAAGTTGGAGAAGATAGTGGTACCCATCTCAGAAGTAGGTGATGATAGCACACTGCTGAAGACTGAGAACAGAACAAGACTGATCATAGCTTTTAAAGGAGCAGGTGTCTATATTGAGTCCTGGCGTCGTCTGATGGGCTTGAAAGACCACAGAGCTCCTAGTTCATCAGTTGATGTACAGTAGGGTTCTAACAAAAGTTTCCTGGGCAAGGGAAGGCACCTTGGCCCATAGAAGGAGCACAGGATTTGGGGTTCAACCTGAGTGTCAACTCCCTTTCCCAGCACACTAGGTGGGGAAGTCACTTAAGTTGCCTCAGTTCCCATTTCTTCATCTATAAAGTGGAGTAATTGTGGGGATTACATTTGGGGACAACTCTAAAGGGCCTTGCACTGTGACTGGCTCCGGTAGGCTCTCCAACAGTGACTCTTAGGACACAGCCTTGGCTGGGAGCTAAGGCAGGTGGAGAGTCCAGTGCATAGGGCCGGATGATGGTTAGTGGGGGTCAGCCTCATTTGCCAATGGTTCCCATACAGCTATGCCCACGGAATATGAAACCAGACCACTGGGCTCCATGGGTCTAGCTGGGTGGGGGCCCAGGGAAAGCAGGCCACATGGACAGGGTCTGCAGCACAGCCCCCTCATGGACCCTCACCATGGTTCTGCTGCTTTAGCCGGCTCAGGATCCTGAGGATCCTTCGTTCTGGGACTTCCAAGCTGTCTACTTGCTGAGGGTTGTAAGAAAGCTTCTTCCTCGACCGAAGCCCACCTATGGTTGATTCTATCTCTCGGGCCTTGGAGGTGCCTTCCTTCAGCTTCTTCTGGTAGTAGCTGAGGAGGTAGTGCCCACCAGCTCAGCATGGCTGTGGTTAATTCACCCCTTCCTCATGACCCCCTGTTCTATCTGGCCAGTTCTTAGCAGGATGTAAGCCCAGGAGTTGAGAGACCTGTGTTCTCAGTCCCCTTATGTAATATGAGGAAATGGTTCCATCTGCCCTGTCCCTGCAAGTCACTTGACTTCTCTGAGCTTCAAGTTTCCCCAGCTAAGATGGGGATCGAATACCTGCATATGCTGGAGGATCATACATGAGACCCATCAAGCATTCAGCGCCACAGTGGTACCTACTACCCATGGTTTCTGTTACTGATGTTTTCTCTTAGATGTACATCTGCTTATAAACCAGCCATGCAGGGCTAGGGATGTGGCTCTGTTGCTAGACTGCATGCCTAGCCTACATGAAGCCTTTAAGTTCAATCTCTAAGCACTGCTAAACTGGGCTTGATGGCACACACCTGTAATCCTAGCACTCAGGAGGTGGATGCAGGAGGATCAGAAGTTGAATGTCATCCTTGGCTGTGTGGCCAGTTCAAGGCCACCCTGGGATACATGGAGTCCTTGTCTCAAAGCAAACAAAACAAACCCAGCTGTGCAACACACTCCTCATCTTCTAAGTGTCATTTTAAAGGCCCAAAAGTCTACGGACTTCTCCCTTTATACTATCCAGGCTCCCACCATGAGCCTCTACTTGCCCACAACCCACGTGGTTTGTTTATATTTTTAGACAGGGTCTTGCTATGCAGCCTTGGGTGTCCTGGTGCTAACTTCACCTCTGCCTCCTGAGTGCTGGTGTTATAAGTATGAGCAACTATGTCTGGCTCAACTTTTACCTTTTTAACTCATTACTTGCCTTTTCCTCCACTAGACTGTGCACCTGGCAGTCAGCAAATACTCCCTGGGTGTTCTCTTTGTGCCAGCTACCTTTCCAAGGGCCTGGAGAAGAGTGGTGAAGGCTTGCCCACCTTGCACAAGGTTGTCTTGGGCCCACCTCTTGCCCCAACCACTGCTGCAGCAATCACTTCTACAAGGGCTTCATAGTTTCACGGGGTGACTCAGGCTGCCCCAGGCCCTTTGGACATGTGGAACCCATCAGTGAAGGGAAGTTAATCATCAGTGGACTACTGTTAGACAGAGGAGTTGGTGGCTGAGGTATAAGGAATTTCCCCTTCTTCCCAAGCTACCATTCCATAATTCCTTAGATCCAGGGGGTGTGCAACTCAGTAACATCTTGTGTTATCTCTCTGCTTACAACCCTTCCCTTCCTCTCCCACAAAATCAACCACCTGGACACATGGCATGACAGACATACTTAAATGTCAGGAGCGATGGGTGCTCTGAGGTAAGAGATTAGTAATGAGAGGCTGTTTTGCTCGGGGTGTAAGCAGTGGTCTCAGAGATGCCATTTAAAGGAGGTGAGGAACAAACCCAGCAGCTGTCTGGAGAAAGCCTTCATGACCCAGGACTGACATGGGCAAAGCCCTGGAGGTGGGAACGAGCTTGGTGAGCTCTAGAGGCAGTTAGGAAGCAAGAGGGCTGGAGCCTCATTACAAGCTGAGAGCTGGCTATGTTCTACGGTCTGGAAGCCCTACGGGCTGCAGCTGCTGGCTCTACTAGGGCCCCTGTCCCTGGTTCTGGAGCATGAATTGTGAAGATAGAAAATAATTCCATACTGGGCATGGTGACGTATGCCTTTAATCCCAGCACTTGGGAGGCAGAAGCAGGTGGATCTCTATGAGTTCCAGGACAGCTGGGGCTACAGAGAGACCCTGTCTCAAAAAGAGCCCCCCCCAAAAAAAAATAAGAAAAGAAAACTAATTCCAGCTGGGCAGGGCAGCACATGTCTTTAGTCCCAGCACTTGGGAGGCAGAGGCAGCCTGGTCTACATAGTGAGTTGCAGGACAGCTGGGGCTACAGGGAGACCCTATCTCCGAAGGACAAAAAAAAAAAAAAAAAAAAAAAAAAAAAAAGATCAGGAAATCACTTCACAGATCAGGAGCCATAGGGAAGACTGTGCAACCGTCTCAGTCACAACTAGAAAAGAAATTGCAGCATCCTCTGATTTCCTGTGGGTTTCAATTCAGATGTATTGCAGGTGTGTTGGATTCTGACTCACCTAGGAAACAGTGGCTCAATCAGTTGGAATGAAACTCGGTGCCTGGGCAGCTCTCTCCCTGCCTGTTGCTTCAGACAGCCCAAGAATGATACATGTTCTCTTACTTGAACTGTGGCCTGTTGGGGGCCTCTGTTATGTGAAGTAGAAGTCTCTTCATATCCAGATAGCTCACGAAGCTCAGAGTTATGTGCTGAGACTCCTTTCATAGCGGGGTGCCTTCCTGGCATTCTCCCTGACTCTCCTTTTGAAGTGCCCGCCACAAATACCATAACATAAACATGGCCTCTGGCTCTAGGAATACCATGCTTTCCTGTGTGATTTTTCAGGTAGTCAGCAGTCTGGCAGCATGGCAGAAATCCACTTCCATATGCAAATAGAATGTCTCACAAAGTACCTATCAGCCAAAGCTTTTACCACTACCCCCATGGTATAAATATATCCTAGCCTTCTCTTAATAGTGGGAGATCGGGTCAGAGACTGAGTCCCAGAGATTGGGTCCCAGAGAGAATAAAGCTGTAAGCACAGACTGAGCCGAGCCTTGAGTCTTGTGTACCGGTGACC